ACTTGTATTTAGAGACTGATCATATTACTGCCACAAAACCCACCTGTGGGGGCAAATAATCCTATATGGCCAGGAGAATTTGAATCCAAATGCCCCAAGCTCATTCCTTCTACTCAAATAAAATATCCAACTCTGAAGAAGCCAGAACGATATGCTGGATAATATGACTCCACTAAGGTTCAGAAATCTACATATGACAGAGAAACTTTTTCCTCTCCAGTAAAAGCGATGAAAGCATTTCCCCCCTGTCCAATTCAACTTACTTCAGGTAAGCAATAAAGCTTTGTAATGTGTGGAAAATGTTTTAACGTGGAATTCAGGTCACAGTTTTAGCAAGGAATTTGAAGGATGGCCATTACCACCTTTATCCTATATTAAATATCATGAAAACAGAAAGAAAACCCAGTCAAAAATAATTAAATACCTGAATTAGGTTCTTAACTAAAAAGATACAATCTGGAAGCTTTGAAGGGTTGCTGGAAAAAAATCCCCCAATTTCTCTATAGACACAATGTATTTAAATACAAAAATATTCATCTTGTTTTATTTCAAACACTATGGAGACTTTGAATGCTATGACAAGACAGACAAGGTCTTATTCTGAGAAAGACAACTTTTCTCCTAGTCTTTCCCTGTGTATTTGAGTGTGGCAAGTTTAGAATTATCATTTCTCCTCTACTATAATGCATGCTCAGCTAGGGAGAGCAGCATACCTAAATCAATCTAAACCACAAAATCTACAAAATGGAAAAAGAACAAAAAACAAACTGCAGGTTTTTTTCCCCCCAAACACAATTTCAAGCTTAGTATTAACAGAGTCAATAATTGGAGCTTTCCCAATTCAACAGATACGCGACCCACAAACATATAATAAATTACAAGTGAAAAACAAATCAAAACCCTCTCTATCTCTTAGTCATTTTAATCAAAAGAAAATTATATTAATTCGGGGTGGGGGGAGAATCAAACAATTTCACTGTTGCTCTTACCGGCGCTGCTCTGCCTCCCTCATTTTTCGTTGTGCTTTAATTTTGTCAAATGGCACAATGCCTTGTCTCTCTCTGCTCTCTGATTTGCGATCCTGGCTCTTAATGCTCTGTATTTAATATCGAAATAGAGAAACTTAATGGAGTGCATTTATAAAAGGACAACTATCACAAACAATACTCTAAGCTCTGTTTCCATTCATACAAATCATGTCTCAAAGCTTGGTCCCTGCATTTTTCAAAAAAGCTGTTCTTTTTTTAACATTACAGACACACCACATATTAACACAGTAATACTTACCTTCCCACATTTGTGTGGCAGGATTTCATTGTCGAATATGGTTATCAGCCGTATGAAAGGTATTTTACTCATTAATATCTAAATCTACATTATAGAAATTCTAATTGGACAAATCAGCAAGACAAGCGTGGGTTACATGTAGCTCAGCAGGATTCAGTATTTGTTTCTAAAGGAAAACTGACACATAATGTTTCCCATGCAAAAACATTACTTACTCTGTCTTTTGATGCAGTTGATGTTTTCACACTAATAACAGGTTCTCCTTTGGATTTATCCATTACTACTGTTCTCTCTGTTCCTTTACTTCCTAAATAAATCAGAGGTTGGGGGAAGAGATGGAAAAAACAATCAAACTACATAACCTACACCACTCATTGCTATGCCAGAAGTTATGTTCTCTAAAATGTGAAAATGGGCATTTAACCCTCTCCTCAAACATCATTTTTTCACTACACCTATTCCAAGTACTTCTGTTAAGGATGACACAATGTCAAACACCGCCCCCACCCCGCCTCTTTATACCTTCTGGATTTGCTACTAAGAACCGGAAATAATTCTAGAATATTGGCAGTTCTTTGGAAAGAACTACCTACAATTAATTATTCATACTTCACCATATCTTTTACTCTATGAAAAAAAGAATAGCCAAATTACCCGACTTAATAGTTTTAGGTTGATCTGATGAACCAGACTTCAGTTCATCTTTATCTTTTTTTTCCTTTTCATCTTTGTCTTCTGTCTTTTTAGGATCATCTTTTTGGTCAGACTTCTCATCCCTTTTAACACTGCCAGGTCTATAGATAGATATTGATATAGATTAGGCTAATACAGAGTAAGAGAAAAGAAAGTTAAAGGAGAATGCTAGCAGCACAGTAAGAAAGTAGAATTCTGATGTGCTAAGACAGTCATAATTAGATTGCCAAAGATTTCCTTCTACAACTTCCTACACCATAAAATAAGACAATCGGACTATGCTGTGCAGTTGTCATAAAAACTTGGCTGTGATTCAGGTATCTTAACTGAAGGCAAAAGGAAAAATTCACACCACTGTGTGCTTAATGCTCACAAAGCTTCTTATACAACATGACAATTATGAAGTGCCAATGTAAACCATTTTTGTCGGGCAACTAGGTGAAATAAAGGCAAAAACTTCTCAGCAAATAGCATTTAATAGGAGTTATGCCTCAAGAAGATAATTAAAGCAAAGGACTTAAGTGTCTTATTCACTCTCTTAGTGTCTTTTTCAGCTACTTTCAGTAATGCTAGAGAGAAAAAACATAGTGCTGAAGAGGAACATGTTCTGGAAACAGGATCTTGGATAACTGATCTTTAACTGTTTGTGACCACAATCACCCAAGAAACCCCTATTCCAACGAGAGAAAAATTTAACGAAGAAACAGTGACATACTGACCAAAATTCTCAAATGGCCTTTCCTATAGATTTGACACGAAAGCACCACAATCTTTACTAAAAATCAAATATAGCTAAATTAAAAGGTATGCTTGAAAATGCAACTTTCTAATGCCTACCTTAAAGCACATAACAGAAACGTCTTAAGTTAGGCACTGAACATCAACAGTTGTTCATCTTGTAGTAAAAAAGTTAGAAAAATGCATCTACTGCTCTTTTTGAACGTTTGCCACAGAAATTCTTACTGTAATTTTATTTTTCCTGACATATCAGCATCGACTGATGAACAGCAAAACACCTTTGCACAGAGAATTTTTAGAACAGTACCTCTCACTGACTGTTTCTTTCTTTGCTTCATTCTCTTTTTTTTCACTTGGCTTCTTCCCAGCAGGTTCATTTTTTGCCTGAAATTTATTTTGCACATCATCAGCTGAGAATGTGGTCTCGATCATTTGTACAATCTGATGGTAATGGGATATCTTTGAGGATCAGTACTCACTTTTTCTACAGAAATTATTTTCCCATGTAACTCTGTTTTGTGGAGATGAGTAATACACATTGTTGCTTCCTCGGCTGTAGACATCGTAACAAAGCCGTAACAGCGAGCACCAGGACTGCGAGCATTGGTGACCACTTTTGCACCTACCACCTTTCCAAAATAAAGAGGTATTACACTCACTGTAACAAGTGCCCACCATTTAACAGCAAGAAGTACAAGCTCCATTTCTACTCTGTTTTATTCCTGTCCACCATCATTCAGGAAACTTCTATTTTTAAGAGATTAACAAATACAAGAGGAGCATTGCTTGGAGCCAATCATGCTTCTGTTGCCAATGCAACACTGCAAAAACTGAATCAATAGATGGGAGCTAAAGACTGAATTCTGTTCTGAAGAAAGCCTGTAAAAAAAAAAAAGGCGGCTAACTTTACATCAACAACATCATTTAGCTTAAGTATAAAGGAGTAAAAACCTAATAAAAATTTGCAAGCCAATTTCCACCCACATGCTAATGCTAGCTCAACTGCTAAGTCCCATCTCCCCCTGAAAAAATGTTTTCATGTCACTAAGAGGCAGACCCACAATGTTATCTACAATCTTTTTTAAGAAACAGGAAGTTTCCCCAAAAAGTATAACTTGAAAAAGCCCACATAAAACACCTGTTTTCGTAAATGGTGCTTACTTATGCTCATATATTCAATACAGCTCACTTTGTATTACAGAAATCAATCATATTTCACAGAGGTGTCATATTTTAAAGTACAGATGAATAAAGAACACATGTTTGAGCATTTGATTTATTGCAGATGTACTTCTACTTCTAGGAAGCTTTGCCTCTGCTAATACTCCAAAGAAAATAACAGTAATTTTATTTAAACAACTAAGCGTTACCATGGCATCTAAGTAGAGGCAAATACTAGGTCGGCTGTTGCACAGTTTTTAACTACATTTAAAATTTTGTGGTACATCTCTATGGTCAATGTTCCAGGTTACCAGATGGAATTCTGGACAAATAAATGGAAGGAAAGTATTGCATTTTTATTGTTACAAGGAACGTTAAAAAGGTTTTAACTAGTCTCATGACTTTCACACAAACTCAAAGCTGTGCTACACTTAATCCATTTTTGTACCTATTGTAAAGTCACATTTAAGTTCTAGAGTATTTTCATTAGTTAAACATTCAATAGCAGATTGCTAGCACATACAGTTTTACGACAATCTGCTGACAGTCATCTTTAAATAGGCTTCAAAGGTTTGACAAGAATCCTTACTGATGTCTCTGACATCAGCCTTCTATTAAACTAGCTCTTTCAATTTCCCAACTGACAGGGAGATTTAACTTGCCATTTTGTCTATCATTAATAACAACTGCAGGACCCCCCCCAACTCCAAACCAAACAACCCCCACCCCCAAACTACCCAAACAATTGCTTTTTAAAGCAATTGCCAACTCCAGACAAAAATAAAACTTCAGGTACCAAGGCAATTCTTAAGCTATTCCCCAATAATTATGTTTCAACATTTACCGCATGTTTTACTTAGTCCTAAGGAAGTCTTTAATAAATAATGTTCAATTCACTGTTGACTCTGAATTTCCAATGGGTGAAGATACTATACTACAGCATAGGAGACAGAAGTATATGTGAACAGTCATTGTCTGTTTCAAATAAAGGACCGTATATGGAATTTTGTATTTGTTTGGAAGTGAGCGACAGAAAAAAAAAGCAGTAATTCAGAGTGTACTTCAGCAGTTTTTTCCATGATATCCCAAAATATTTTTGATAATTTGATTCCTTTCACTGGTATTCTCAGTGACGGGAGCTTAAGAAGTCTTATTAAGACAGCTTCAAGTGAAAAAAACCAAACCAAAACAAAAAACCCCTTACCTTCCCATATTTGCTAAACAGATTCTTCAAATCTGTAGCTCTGGTAGTGGAAGCCAGTCCACTCACCCAAAAGTTTCTACCAGAACCGCTAGCAGTGCGACCTAATTAGGAAAACAAACAAACAAAACCAAAACATACCCAAAATCCTAATTATTTCAACAACTACTTCTGAATTAAAAAGGAGCAGTTCCACAAATCTTTTTTTTTAAATCACAGAGCAAATGAAATGCAATGCATAACATTCTCCCCCCATGATTCACATTACTGAAGGCAAGTAGTATTGCAAGTCCAAAAACTTTAAGATGGAACTACAGGCCTTGATACATGCAACAGAGACATGTCATGTCATTCTTCAAGAAAGTAACTGGACTAGGGCATCTCTGAAGTAATTGTGGCTCTTCAGAATGTGCCTGGATAGATCCCAGTAATGCTGCACTTACAGGAAAAGACAGAAGACCTGCTAAGAGTTGTGGGAACAGTGTTAGTACCCGTGTATGCTCATGTCTTGCCCTCCCTATCTCCTCGACTCCAAAGGAATGATGATGGGATGCAGGTTAACCACACCTCTCAAGGAAAGACACTCACCATAAAGAAAGCAAGAAAATTTCTCTCCTATTTCTGCCCACACAGATTCCACAGTTGGGGTATGAAGCCTGTGACTTTAGTTACAGGAGTCAGAAAAGACCTAGCTTTCTTTAACTATGCAAGAACTACAGAACACCAATTTGGCATCTAAACTAGAAAGATAATTTTATAAATGCTTATGTAAAGTCTGAAAACCCAACATCTAGTGATTAAAAAGTGTCTGAGCTGAAAGAACCTTTCTAAAATGCTATTTTATTCGGGTGTCTTTCCATCTCTTACTTCCTGATAATTTTTGTCATTGTCACAAACATGAGCGTAGCACTGAGAACATTGCTGTTAATATTTATAAGAGTTCCCTAGGGAAGCATGCAATCATTTGTGCCAAGCTCTAAAAAAAAAAAAAAAAAAAAAAAGGTCTTTTGTATAAAGGAGACTATGTCTAGACCTGTCATCTTCTAGTCTCAAGAACTGCATGGACAAAGGTGTGTCATGTGTGCAAACACACGGGAGATACGTTGTCTTGGTGTTTCAAAAAGCTGAGCCATAGGCTTTGATGTTTTTACTCCACACGCTTCCTCTAGAATTTTAAAACAGCCACCTACAGTTACACTGGCACCAGCATCCTGGAGAAGGAGAAAAATGAGCTCTTTCTTCTATTTTATCAACGATTTTTTAGATTATTCAAACTATGTTAATACCCTTTTTGAATAAGGTTTGATCAGTCTTAACATCTCCAGTTTTTGCCCTCCCATAAGACTTAAAGAGGTGCTCCTGCAATGGTACTGCACTTCCAAGACAAAGAGAGACTGGGACTATAAAATCTTCTCTAATTTAGAAACTAGAATGATATTAGGTATTGGGAGCCAACCCTCAACACTGCAGACATCTTTCAGATATGCATAAAGCGACTGCCAAGTCCACCAGACTTATGAGCTCATAAATTTATTTTTCTACGCTCTTATTAATACAGCTCTCATAATGAATGCATGGAACATGGAAAACTCCTTGTTCTAAATAAAATCCTTTCATACAGGTGTGGAAATAGCAACGTATGAGTCAGAACTGACTTGTATATAGTTCTGTACCTTACTTCTGGCTCAACCGCTTTGCTCTGCATGCAGAGAGCGCTACATAATCAAGTAGCTACCTCCCCCCAGTGCTCTTTACTAAGCCAGAATATGATTTAAACAAATGTTATGGAACACAGCACATCCTTTGGAGGAAGGTATGCAGGGGCAAGGTTGTTATCAGACACCCAAGTTCCTGAAGGCTGTTTTGAACGCAAACTTCAAGAAGAGTTTTCCCAGTCCACAAAAAAGTACACTCAAGTCCTTGGGTAAATGACAGCATGCACAAAACACTCCTTTAAATATTCTGAAATAAGAGAACACAAGATTACAGACTGTAAGCAAGAGGTAAACAGACCCTAATGGAGCTGACATTGAGGTCCAGTAGCTTGCACAGACAGGTATAACCCGGATCTTGGAAAAAGCAGCTGACAATGAGTTCTGTCTGTGTTGTAAAACCCAATTAAAACCAAACAAATTCTTCCTGTCCAGTCGGCAGACGGATCTCATAATGAGTTTCTTGCCTATTATAGGAATCGCTGGAACTTCCAAGCTTACAGTGCTGAACTACCTGCCTGCAGTATGTAAGAAGAATGTTAGCAGTCAGTTCTAAATTTTCTGCCCTGGTCAGTTAGGAGAGAATAGAGAGGTGGGGTGAGCTGCAAAGACTCAGCAGCCTAATGTATTGAAAGGAAGAAGTATGATGAAAAGAAGGAGCAGGCACCTGACACTGTTGATCAAGAAATTTTCATCTTCCTTATGATGCATATTTGCACCATAAATAGGATCTGCGTGGACAAAAAGTTAATAACATCGATCTAATGTGACGACAGTGCTAAGCTGTAAGTTTCTGTGGCATTTAAATATGTGAATACTAGATTCCAAATTATTTCAGCAAAACAGTATAGCTTTACTATACAAGCGTATAGTAAAGCAAACACAACTGCGAAAGGCTCTTGAATCACTAACAGCTGTTGGTAAGCATCTTCAGTGCCATGAAGGACATATTTGCCACATATTAACATCTACCTTTGAAGATCAAGATACAAACAAAAGGGTGCAACACAGATACCCTTAGAAAATGCATAAAAGGAAAACAGGCCTTTTGGCATAAATAGAGTAAAAAGAAAAAAAATCCAGAAAGAGGTGAATAATTTATGATATTTAACGACTTTGCAGATTCCGACGCTTTTCTGCTGAAACACCCCATCCAATACAAAAACAGTTTCTCCAAGCAATCATTGAAGTTCTATTTTTGAAATAAAAAACATACCTTTCTCATCCTTTGAGATTATCTTTGTATCTCTGTCCTCCTCAACAGGGCTAAAGACAAAACACCACATTATTCAAGTCAGAAAGAAAAGTGACTAACTATAAATTATGAAAAATGCTAAAATTAAATACCTACCAGAAAATATGTTGCAAACAAAAACACACCTTTGTATACTTGATTTAAGAAATCTGACAAGAAATAATGAAGTCAGATTCTTAAACAGACTTATATTAGGAAGACGTTTACAAATAAGAGTAATTTAAGAAAACAACCTTTGAAGGTTGAGGAAGGAAAGAAATCAAACCCTCTGTGTTTAAAAAAAAAAAATCTGCACATGGAGAAATAAAACAGACTCTTTAGGAATAGGCTACAATTTCATCAGTCTTGGTGGCCAATTGAAGGAAACAGCTTATTCGCATCACTTAACGACCAATGAAAAAAAGATAGCATCTGGTCTATAACGGAGAAAAAACAAACCTCTTTTTCTGATCACCGCCCTCACTGGTTGAGGACTCTTTAGTAGCAGGGGATTCCTCAGAATTAGCTTTGTCTTCTGTTTTCTTGGCATCTTCTTTGCTATCTTTGGCTTCGGGACCTGCGCCTTTTTCCGCTGTTTCCCCACTAGAGGCTTCCAGGCCTTGGGAGCGTTTGCTACTCTGATCGCTTAGGGTCTCTACTACTAAAGATTCAGAGTCCGGTTTCTCTTCCTCTATTGTCTGTGCACTTGTCTCCCCTTTTGCTACAACTAAACGCTTTGCTTCCTTCCTTGCCATAGCTTGTGCCGATTTGCTGTCCAAATCTAAAGCATCTTCCTCCAACTGAGCGGCAGCAAGAGCGTCCTCTTCCTCTGCTAGCCTCTTGCCTGGCACCACGTTACTTGCTTCCTGTGCATGTGGCCGCTCCGCTTCGGAAGTGTCTTCGTTAAGTAGTTCAGATTTACAAGTTTCCCCCAAAATGTCGAGTATTTTCTCATTTTCTACGGATTTAACAGGAATAGAATGGCACAAGATTTAATCACCAGGGAAATACAGCAATCACAAATGTGGAACTGGCATGGCTGCCACACTAACACCAAGAGAACTTCTAAGCTACACAGAGATTGGAAAACCCTAGTGTACACAGTGTTAAAAGTACTACGCTAACTGCTGTCTGACAAACTACCAAATCAGCCCTAAAATGTTAACAGGGAAGAAAAATGCCCCCACAGATTTAACAAAAACCTTCTGGCTGATCCTTGATATTCTTCATGAAATCATTCAGCTCTGTTTCTTCTCTAGTTAGCTTCCAGAGTCCAAGATGCTTAACTGAACGTATCAAGGCACTGAGAGTTCAATTTCCAAATTTCTGTGAAATTCTTTTAGCAGACAGTCCAACATGAGAACTGGGCATCTTCTGATGGTGCATGAGTGTGTTTGCAGTCCAGAAAGTGAAAAGTATCTGTATGAAATTTCCATGAAGAAACTCTCTTCTTTCTTCTGTATCCAGTAACTAATCTTTACATTTTAATGCCCTACAATATCTTTTTACTGCTTTCACTGCTCTCTACTTAGTAACAGAGTTAAGGTGTGTGCGATATCACAAGATCTGTTTACAAGTAGAATCTTTAGCTTTTAAACTGTGATTAACTTCTCTAAATCCATTTATGTAGTTTAACAGGTTTTTAAACCATTTCATTTCACTGGAAATATTTCAAAGATGACAAGCATCACTTCACAGATCTGGGGATATGATTGGGTTTCCAATCTCTATGACCCTGCATGATCTGGATTGTCCATCATAAAAATAATGCAAATTATGTTTGTTTGCTTGGTTTTTTAATATTTAATGGTTTAAAAAGTATTAGTTGAAAAGACAGGAATATGTTTTTCTTTAACAGTACCTGGCTCCAAGTGTAGCTTCTCCATTTTCTGTTGAGGAAAATAAACACAGAATGAGGATTTTATAAAATGCATTTTGTAACACAGAATAATAGCAACCCCCCACCCAATCCCAAGATGAAAACTTCACAAATTCACCTACTACATTTATCGCTTTTTTTCACCATCCACTGGAACTGACTATTTTATATACGTAATTTTTCTGGCACGTTGAAGCCAAATCAAAGTATCAGCCACAATTACGTTCTCATATCTAACTTGGAATAAGTTAGATTTAAAGAGACCAGTAAAATATCATTGTGTACCACATCAACTGCAGAGTGGGAAAAAACCCCAGCTACTACCTGATATAATCAGTACAAGACCATTTTTATTTGCCATAAAAGTGGAGGAAGTCTTGATAGCCGACTGAAAAGTAGGGAAAAAACACAGGGCCTTCTCATTTGACAGACTGTATTCTGAGCAAGATCACGTATGTCTTGGATTCTGTTAAAATTTCATATTATGGTCATGTTTTCTTTTTTGTAGCATGAGCACAGAGTGAATACTGATAATAATCTGAAATACAGCTACATTTTCAATTTACCTTCATTTCAATTAAATCAGAAGAAGAGGCATCTAAATTGTTTTCAATTTCATCATAATCTTCCTAAAAGAGTAAAAAAGGAATTATAGCATTTTTTACAAAAAGTAACGTTATCTTACGGAGAAATACTACTGTATTCAATTTTCCCTAGCAATAATACAAGAAATCTTTTCCAGTATTTGACAAATCTCAAGTGCTACTTCAGATTGTGACCCAAGAACGAGGAGCAACATATAAATATTCTTGATCGTTAAACATCTTTCTCCAGTTACCTTCCATTTTAATTTCAACATGACATTGTCTACTTCAAAGTTACTCTTACTTAGAGAGGAAATTTATTTCACATTTCTGTCGTTACTGTACTTAACATGTTTTTCCATTTTCCCCACTTTTTTACTTCTTTAGTTTCTAACTGAAAAAACAACTTAGAAATGAAGCTGACTTAGGTTTCTACTTTTCCGAAAACAAAACACATCCCCAAAATCTTCCTTCCTTAAGAGCTGTTGGTAAGACTCAACCAAAGCTCATCGGTTATATGATTCACAACAGCTCTAATTTACAGAGCATCAAAAAATTGCCTTTCAGGTTAACTGGATATTGTTGCAATGACTCTGTTTTCAGAAGGTAAATGATAAAAAGTTGAGACAGACACCACAGGCCTAAATAAAGAAAACCCAAAACAAACCATAAGGAGGCAAGGAAGGATAATACATTCAGTTTTGGGAGTGAACCTGCAGAGAAGATTTCCAAATTATCTGTGAGTTGAAAACATATTTCTCTCTCTCCATATGTATAGGTATCTAGACGGCTGGGTATATGCATAAATACACTTAAAACACATATAAATGGGAAGAGGGAACACCGAAACTAACACATTACTTTCAATTCCAGGCTTCTTTCACGGCAAGCAAAGATGTTACTGCAAGGTAAAGAAGGCTGTGACCCATCTACCATGAACATTTCAAACCTCTGATAGGTCCAAGAACATTTACCACCTAAAGAGTAAGACGTGAGAGCTGTTAACGTAAAATAGAATCCATACCACATTCATGGCCTATATTCTATTACACTGAAATAACTCGTTCATGTGCCCATATGCTTATTAAATACCTTCTGAAAATTTACAAAGACCTCTACTCATTTACCTCATTTTCTGTTAGCTGATCCGGAAGTTCTTTCATTTCTGTTTCGACATTGTCTTTATTATCAGACAGAGAATCAAGAATATTATCAGGACTATAGTCTTCTCCACAGTCTACAGCACTGCCGTTATCTATTTCAGCTTCATCTAACACACTAATATCCATCATGTCAATATCTTGTAAGGTATCCAGACTTGCTTCGATATCCTCCTACAGAAAGAAAAAGGGTAGATGTGTATTTATTGTGGGTTAAATGATGCATACTCTTAGTAACAGCAATCATGATTTCACTTACCTGCCCATCTCTAGAGTTTTCTTCCAGTCCATTGTCTTCAACACCTTCTTCTTCTGTTTTTTTTCCTAAAAATAGTATCATTGAAGTGAGATATAGCACTAAATTTCATAACACATCTACTCTTTGCTGAATTACCTATTCAACACTGAGTTTGTTTCAACAAATGATGATTAAGATCCAGGATTCAGAAGTCCAGGTCTGTCTGGATATAACAGAGGACAACTTGCCACTCGACACAAGCAAACAGCATGAGCATGAACTAGAAGTAGCACAGCTACATTTTTCAACAGCTATACTCCTCTCATTCCACAACACTTCAGTACCTAAAAAGACAACACTGTCTAGGAAGGTATTCCATTTAAAACAAACACCCTACCATTGCTACAAAACCCCTCCCTCTTACCATTTAAATAATTAAATAATTACACTGATTTAGAATTAGTCTTCACTTTTAAGATCCTGGACACACAGTTTATGCACATCATGTTTAGGCACAGCTGTCACTAGCAAACTCGTATCGCTATTCAAAAACAACGGCTCTTTCTGTATTTTTACCCCATTATCTTAAAGGAAGCAGCTTAAAAGTAAGTTCCAAAAAGTATCTTTTAATAACTGGCTATGAGCAATTCAAATAAACCACACGTAATATGGCCCACACAATACTTTATGTTTTTGAAGCAAAATATATTTAAATCACTAGCGAGCTATTTCAGAACAGTTTATGTTCAAAACAAGACATTTATAAAATGAAATATGACACTAACAAAAGTTATACACATTTGTTATTTGTGCAACAATGGTTCTAATTATTCCCACTGTAATTTCTCGCATCTAAAAATGTATCCCAATGATGATGGAGGTTCAAGGGCTTCTATGAAAAAAGGAAAATGCATATAGTTACAGCAAGGAAATCAGTACCTGGGGTGTTGTGGAGCCACCTTAATATACATTGGCAGAGCTTTCCACGGGATCTTACACTGCAGCTGCTTGCTCTGTACATGACACAATTCTACACTTATGGTCACAAGTACAGAAACACCTGCAACTTACCGTCTCATCTACAGGTTTCAAGACTTGCTAACGGAAATACGGTTAGGTGTCATATTATCGTTTAAATTTGTTATCGCTCACTAACGCAACAGAGTTTTACCATTTTCCATACGGGAAAAAGAAAAAGCACTTCTTTTTGTTTAAATTAAACTAGTGAAACAGAAAAAATCCACACCATATGCTAAGTTCTAGCTACATGGAAACAAAGTAACTGTATTTGACTAGACTCCTACCTTTGCTAGTTCTCTTTGGCATTCTCTTGTTGGTCAGTTCTGAGGCCACAGCAATTTCATCAGGATCTCCTCCTTCATCCTCAATGGCCTAACGGAGACAGCAGCATGACATCTATTGTATTGTTTGTTGGTGTGCATTTGTACTGGTTTTGGATGGGATAGAGGTAAATTTCTTCCCAGTAGCTAGTATGGGGCTATGTTTTGGATTTGTGCTGAGAACAGTGTTGATAACACAGGGATGTTTTAGTTACTGCTGAGCAGCGCTTACACAGAGTCAAGGCCTTTTCTGCTTCTCACACTGCCCTACCAGCAAGCAGGCTGGGGGTGTACAACAAGTTGGGAGGGGACACAGCAGGGACAGCTGACCCCAACTAACCAAAGGGATATTCCATACCATATGATGTCATGCTCAGCAATAAAACTGATGGGGTGGAAGTTGGTGGCGCTGCCATTACTCAAGGACTGGCTCGGCATCGGTCGGTTGACAGGGAACAATTGCTTTCTTTTACATCACTTGCTTTTCTTGGGTGTTTTTTCTTTTTCCTCCTATTGTTTTTTTTTCCTTCTTCTATTTTTTTAAATTATTAAACTGTCTTTATTTCAATCCACAAGTTTTCTCTTACTTTTACCCTTCCAATTCTCCCCCTCATCCTGCTGGGGGGGAGCGGGACAAGTGAGCAGCCATGTGGTGCTTAGCTGCCTACTAGAGTTAAACCACAACAGCATTTTTAAGGATTTGTCAGATGGAAACATTAGTGTCTCACCCTAGTTCAGGTCATACAGCCAGGTAGCCATATCAGCCGTTAGAAACACTGAATGATAAGGTGTTGTAACACAACCCCACAGCCAAATCAAGCTATGATTGACAAGCAAAGTTCCCCCTCATCTGTAAACAAGGCTCCCTACTCAGCAGATAAGCGCTTTAACTGTATAAAACCGAGAGTGACCACTACAGGAACTCAAGCGCATCCGACAGTATTTTTTTCTCAACGTGCAGGCCTATTAGAACTCATAAAAGGGTCAGGACCGACTATGCTGTTCTGGCCTCATGGAAGCCTATGAAAATACATTCCGGAGAGGTGGGGGAAACAGAGTCAGGTGAAGCGTGTACAGAGGAAGAAGTAGAAGAGATACGGGAAAAGGGAGCTGGGGAAACGAGAGGAAATCAGGGAAGGACGCGCGTACATTAGGTACAGGGAACGAGGGAAAGACCGGGGCCATCGCAGAGTGAGATGAGAGTGGCACTCCAAAGGAACGGCTGAGGTGCGGGCGGCGGCCCGGGTGCCCACACGCTGAAGCGCGAGCGGGCGGCGCGGGTCGCCGCTGGGGGGGTCGGGGCGGTGGCAAGAAGCAGGGCAGCGGCGGGGGCGGTGGCGGGG